TTTACAGGTGTGGAAATTGAGACCTAAGGAGATGAATGCCCTGTCTCAGACATCGGGATAGCGTAAAGTAGGATTGAATGCTGTGCTGGCTAATTTTATGTCAATCTAACACAAGCTAGAGTCCTTTTAGAGAGGGAATCTCATTTGAGAAAATGCCCAAAGCAGACTGGCCTGAGGAGGTTTTCCTTCATTGACTATTGGGATTTTCTCGATATTGACTGGATGTGGGAGGGCCCAGCTCATGGTGGCCGTGTCACCCCTGGGCTGGCAGTCCTGAGGACAATAAGAAAGCAGTTTGAGCCATGAAGAATAGTTTATAAAAAGCATTCCTCTGTCGCTTTTATATTGCATCCTATCTTAGGTTTCTTCCCTGACTTTTCCAAGCTGTAAGATGAAATAAACCCTTCCCTGCCAACTTGGTTTTGGGCTTAGTATTTTATCAAAGGTATAAAACCCTAACTAAGACAGAGACAGAGTTTTTGAACCGACCTGTTTCTATTGCTTATAAGCAAAGGGGAACTAAGACACATTTGCCTAGGAGTGGAATGGGGAGGAACAGAGCAATGTCCAAAGAAAGAGCTGATCCGAGTCCTGAGATTCCCAGAAACGACAGAATCTAAACAGCCCCTGGGAGGAGAGCATGAATAGGCCCAGTCAGCAGGCTTTCAGACAGGGATCAGGACTTCCCTGTAGATACTTCCGTCCCCTAGAACCTGGAGCCATGGCACACTGCTAAGTGCTCAGGTTGACATGGGTAAGAAAGAAGAGTCAGAGCAAAGGCAAAGTGGGAGGGAGGAAGCCATTGCTGCATAAGAAATGGTGCTTGTGAAGGCATAGGACGCTAGCCTACCCAGTTCCAGGACCGGCCCCATAAGCCTGCATCAACCATCTCCTCTGCTAGCTGGGGCAGTTGATAGGAGTACACACTGCACAATTGTTTTGAGACCGTCAGATGAAAACACAAATCTCATTTCTGTCAGTAGACTAAAAAATCATTCCTTCCACCTGAGTGTCCAAAAAGTAACGCAATACACTATAAGTGGGAAGACTGCACAGATTCAAATCTTTCCAAATTTAATGTTGTTCCAAAGGAAATAACAACACTCCTTTCCATGTTCTATGGAAGCAGCTAAAGTCCCTCCAGGTCAGAGCCAAGCAGTTACAATAGCCAAAGAGTATGGACAGATCAAAGACAAGACTCTCCTGTATGTCCAAGTCTCCTGGGTTACCTGAACTTTACAGACCATAGCCCCAAGAGAACATGGGCCCATGTCTGAATCATGGTGGTTACGCCGTGAAAAGAAACAGGAAAACACTGTGCAGCCAAGGAGATGTTCTTTTTTTCTTCCTATGACGTGAGATCGATCAGAAACTGGTGGCAGACGAATTCCACACGGGTGAGGGAGGACTAGCGCCAATTAAGTTGGAAATGCTAACAAGCTGCTTGAGCAGTCTCTGAGGCATGTCAGGACAGAACATGTCCACAAAGAAAATATTAATTTTTAAGTTCAAAGAAATGAGAATTTAGACAGGGAAGAGACTAAGGGGAAAGTGCCAGGATGTTTATCTAAATTGTCATTCCTATGTTTTTTGAGAAGTCTCATGCCCTGTGAACAGTCAATCAACACCCCCTCCAATCCCAGTCCTCACCCTGATTGAGTGGGGAGATGTCAGTCAAGGAGGAAAACATATGGGAAGTCTGCTAAGCATGTGTGTCGTTTCTGATGTCAACATGGAAGGAAATTCAGGAGTGGGCAGCGTGTGTGCTTTTCCACGCCAGCTCTAAGGATGGCAAGGTGCACCCGTGGCTTGTACAAAGGTCTCTGCATTGTTGTCATTGCTTTGGGGTGATGATGATTATGATGTTGGTGGTGATGGTAGGTGTATATAGAGTTCGGTGTCAGTCAACACAAATAAAATGTGGCTGTGGTGTCCAGGACTAAGAGACACTCCAGCACAGTGAGTACGCAGGAGTTTGGAAGTCAGACTTTGTATTTCTCGCGATGGGCTGCTGAGGCCGGAATCCTTCAGGAGAGCCTCATTTTGACGACCCTGATGTCTAGACTTGGGGTAACACATTCGCTTCCTTTGACTTCAGTTGCTCCATATGTAAACTGAAAGGTGTGGGGAGGGTCACTCTAGATCAGCGATTCTCTGTCTTAATGCTGTAACATTTAATACAGTTCTGCATGTTGTAGGGACCCCCAGCCATAAAAGTATTTTTGTGGCTACTTCATAAGTGTAATTTTGCTACTGTTATAAATTGTAATGTAAATATCTATGTTTTCCCGGCAGTCTTCAACAACCCCTATGAAAGGGTTGTTCATTTCCCCAAGGGGTCATGACCCACAGATTGAGAACCACTGCTCTAGATTCCCTTTGCTGACAAGGTATAGAATTCAAAGCAGTTTCTATCTGAGAGGTCAGTGGGAGAGCCCTGGGCCATGCTGTTTGTGGCTGGGGTATGGACAGGTATTCCGAGGAAGCAGAAGGAGCACTGGGTTGTGTCTAGAACTTCGTTGGTTTGGAGTTGACTTTTCCTGGCCAATGCTGGTTAAGTCACTACACCTCCTGAGTGGGCATGGCCTCACAGCAATGTTTGCATCCCATAGTATATGTATTCAAACCATCCAGGACTCTTACCCAATCCTTGATCTGTAAGTCTAGTGTGACACTTACGATTCCATCTCTAAAAGGTTCCCAGTGACACTTGAGGAGCTAGCTGGCCTGGACCACTCCCAACAGTGATAGCTTACATGGTACGTATGGTACACACCTCTGTCCTGGCTTCCCAGCATCCAATGCTTCATTCTCTACTAAGAAACCTGAGTTTTCTCTTAGACATTTCCTCCAAGTCAGAGCAATCAGGTGGCCTGATGCCTCTCCTGATCCCCAGTGCCAATGATGTGGCCCATGTTTTAAGTTCAACCATTCAAGGCACTTTGTCTCTGTGTTTGATTCATATGGCTCCAAACCATACAACACAGGAGGTTTGCTGTTGTAACTATAGCAGCAATGAGACTGTCTTAGCTGTAACATCTAAATTATAACTAGGATATTAGTCAGGGACCTCAAGAAGACACTTCATCCCTTCATGATAAAGATGCCTAAGAAGAAAGTCAACAGGAAGGAAAGCAGGGGCTGGGAGATGGCTCTGTGGATAATGTGTGCTTTTACTGCATGAGGATCTGAGTTCAGAAACCCCAGAACTCATGTAAGCACCGGGTGTGACTGCCTGTACTGTGGGGGTGGAGGGTAGACATGCCTGGCTCCTGAGAACATGCTGGTCAGTCAGTCTAGCCAAAGCTTCCAACTCTGGGTTCATTGAGAGGATACGTACTCAGGCAAGCACACAAACACACACATAGGCACACACACACACACACACACACACTCATGCAAAATGTACCACACACACACACATGTACATACACAGGCAAAAAAGAGAGCAAGAGAGAAAAGAAAGGAAGTAAAGCTGAGTGGGCCAGTGGCAGCACCGGAACTCTGAGACACAGCCAGGCCTGAAGACAGCAGAGGAGCGGGCGGCCCTCCTCACTTACACAAGCTCATTGAGAATGTAATGCTACTGACATGATATTTTCATCTGATTTATAACCTTATCATTCTCTTGCTCTAGACCAGAGGTAAGTGACATTTTTTGTAAAAGGCCAGGCAGTAATGTTTTACGATTGTAGAGCAACAATTGCTGCTGGAATGATGTAATTCTGCTATTGTTAAACGACAGCCATTATAGGTAACACGCAAACACACACTCCAATAAACGTTATCTAGTTAGTGAGTCATCCATGGCATGGTAGTACAAGCCTGTGTCCCACCTTAAGAAGTGGAGGCAAGAGGATCCATTTGAGGCCAGTCTGGGCTATATAGTAAGACCCTATCTCAAAAGCAAATAAATAGTACCTGTAGAGATCCCTCTGGAGGAAAAGATACTTCTCAACAAACCTGACATCCCAAGTTTCATCCTTGGGAGCCACATCGTGGAAGAAGAGAATAGATTCCTTCAAGTTGTCTTCTGTTTACACATGCACTGTGGCACAGGCACACACATGCACACAGGCATGCACACAAACACACACACATGCACACACACACCCACACATGTACAAACACACAGGTTTGTACAAGCACACACATGATGATAGATAGGCAGATAGATAGATAGATACATACATACATACATACATACATACATATATACGTAGACTCATAGATTCATAGATACATAGATAGATAGATAGACAGACAGACAGACAGATAGATAGATATAGATAGATAGACTGATGTGTTACTGTAGTTTCTCTTGTCATGCCAGAGTCTGCCACCCTTTTCAGCCCCAAATAAGCACACAGATGTTATATTAATTATTAAACTGTTGGCCAATGGCTAGGGTTTCTTATTGGCTAGTTCCCACTTAATTATTAATCCATAAGTACTAATCTACGTATTTCTATATGGCCTTATCTTACCAGAGAACACCTGGCACATCCTATCCTCTAGGTCTCCACATGATGCCCCTTCTATATCTCTGCCTACCTTTCCCAGAATTCCTCTCATTCTCCTAGTACAGCCTATCTTCCTGCCTCCATTGGTCAACAGTGTTTTATTCAACAACCAATAAGAGAAACATATATACAGAAGGATATTCCCCATCACTGATGAAAAAATAGGTTGGTATCCTCTTTGTAAGCCATGTTTACCAATTCTCAATATGAACAATGAAAAATACTTGATTTGAGATTTTTCAGTTTTCATGCTGAGAACACCCAATAGTTGTTTTCACTAAACCAGGGTAAGGGGGATGTGGCAAATGCAGATCTGGGAAGAGATGGGCACCAGCTCTCTGAGATCTGCTACTCCCAGGAAGGAGATACAAAAGCCATCACATTTCACATTTGTATAATATCAAAATGTGGAAAACATCTAGGACGTCATGTGTTTTAAGTATTTGTCACCTTAGTCAAGGTATGACTTCTTTAACGTCACTTTAGGAAGTTTGTTTTTTTACTAGTAGCTCTGTGCAGCCAGGTTTACAACACCACTAAATCAAGAACAGTGGGCTCTAGAGAGGCCCCAACTGTTTCTTATCACATTGTGATGGCTTGGGTAGCCATTTTTAGATGGCTCAGAATCGAGACAGAGAAACCAGTGTCCAACCATACAGCAAGAACAGATCAAAGTTTGGGAGGGATTAACCATGTCTTCAAGAACTGCAGTTTAAAATTCCAGGGCCCTAGACAAGCCCTTTTTGAAATGGTAATGTCTTCTCATACCTGAGTAGAAAAGACAATTAAGATAATGTGTTAATTTTCCCCTCGAATCTGACAGTAATATTTTGATCCTGTTAATTACCCAGAGAACAGAAGCTGTATGTAATGTGATAGGTCTTAGCAGAGCTGACGTGCTCACTGCCTGGGTAAGCAGGCACACTTATCCTATAATTAGCTGCTTGGAATGCCATTTCCAGCCCTCCCTACATATACCCACTCAAAAATGAACCAACACGGTATTTCAGAACTCTTCCAAGCTTGCTTCCCCTGGGAAGGCAGCCAATGATTGTTTACTGAAAGTCACTCGCCTTTCAAAACTATCAGAAAATAGCAATCCATTCACTAATGACTTCTGGCAGGTGAGGGTTAATCGATGCCTTAAGAACACCCAGAGACCATGCCACTGCAGGGCTAGCTGGTTTGCCTTCTGCAAAGGCTAAACTTATCGATATCGCTAACTGGGCATTTTAATGAGAGTTCATTACAAAAGGGTGAACCTCCACAGTGGGCCAACAAATCCATAAGGCAGCAAAATGGAGAGCCACAGTCATTTCTGCAAGCTGAGAAACAGGCCTCTCTACATATGCAGGCTCTACACACACATGGCTGGTTGGGCTGGGCGTTCCACAGGGTATGTCCTTCAAAACGTGGTTGCTGTATTTATCAGCCTAGGCACTGCCAGACTGCCCGAAGTCTCAAGATCTACCATCTGAAAATGGAGGAAGCTATAAGGAACAAGACAGTGCTGGCAAAAGTCTCAGCCTGGATCCAGACACCAAGGGAGTTCAAGGTCTGAGGGCAGGCGAAGGTGGACACCCCAGCTAGAGTAGAGAGGAGGGTGAAGGTCATCTTGTTGGTTTTGTCTTTTTTTTTTTAATACTGAGGCATGTTATGTGGGTCAAATGATTTAATCTAAATGAATCTCTTGGGACCATGCCTGGCAAAGGTTAGCACTATGTAAGTACTAGTGATAGTCACCTTCTTCGTCATGATTGACAATTCCCCAAATGATACACCACCCTCCGGGCCCACACTCACCAGTTCTCAGGCCTGGTCTCCTAGCTGCTATTGAAATAAGAGAGAGTGCATCCCCTCCTCAGCTCTGCCTGGGCCTATGGGCCTCCACTCAGAGGCATCGTCCCGCTCTTGATGGTCACTCATTCTCCGTTTCTTTCCTCTGCTTCTGGGACCTTCTTGCGGATCCAATGCAGGGTCCCGTGGGGCCTGAAGCATTGGTGAGGGCCACCAGATGGGAGCCACGTTTACCCTGATCACCACGAGCAACAAGAGAAGAGGAGAAGGCACCGTGTGGAGGGCGGTGGCACACACACACAGTCAAGTGGTGTGCTCGTCAGGTGTCTGTTGCTGGGCTGAACGCCCACCGAAAGCAAGCTGGGGAGGAAAGGGTTTATGTCATCTTACAGGTTATATATAGTCCATCACTGGAGGGAAGCTAAGGCAGGAACTAAAAAAAAAAAAAAGGAGAAATGCTGTTTACTGCCTTGTTCCCTCTGGCTGGTGCTTAGCCAGCTTTCTTACAGACCTAGGGCCACATGCCTAGGGGTGACACCACCCACTCAGTACCCTGGGCCCTCCTGCCTCAACTGGGAATTTGAGAACGCCCCACGGACACACTGCAGTCTAATCTCATGGAGGCAGTGCCACGCCGTGGTTGAGTTTCCTTCTTCCCCGGTGACTCCAGTTTGTGTCAAGTTGACAACTGAAGCTAACCATGACAAACGCCCATGGTGTTTTCTTACTAATCCCCAAATGTGGGCTTGTCCTGTGCCTGTGTCCTGAGCAAGATTAGCTGTCCTCTGAGGCCGTCCTCAGAACCAGAGTTCTGAGCAGGTGGCAACTCTCTTCTGAGGAAACAGACCCTCTGTGATACTCAAACCCTGTCTCATTGAGACAAAAACACCTGACATAAGTCACAAGAAGAAAGTTCATTCAGCTCACAGTTTCTGGGTTTTCCATCTGTTAGAGTAGGGAGGGTGTGGTGGAATCGCTCACAGCATGACAGACAGGAGGCAGGCTGGGGCAGCAGCAAGAAGAGGCCAGCGCAACGTAGAAACACCAGGTATACACTCCTGGTGAGTCACCTCCTGCTACCGGACCCCACACTTCCCATTTCCAACACCTCCAAACAGTAGGTTCGAAGCTTGACTATATGAATAGATTAAGTCATGTGTTAAACCAGAGCCCTCAAGATTTTGTCATTCTGGAAACCCTCACAGATGTACCACTAATTTCCTCAGAGTCTCTCAATCCAATCAAGGTGGTAGGCAAGACTAGCCATCACATCCTCCTCCAGGCCTCTGCACGCTTAGGGAAACAGCCCACCATCTACTGTCTTAACTAGGGTTTCTATTGCTATGAAGAGACACCGTGATGACAGCAACTCTTATAAAGGAAAACATTTAATTGGAGCTAGCTTACAGTTTCAGAGGTTTAGATCGTTATCATCCTCGAGGGAAACATGGCAGCATGCAGGAAGGCCTGGTGATGGAGAAGGAGAGGAGAGTTCTACACTTTGATCTGAGGGCAACAGGAAGTGAACTGTCTACCACACTGGATGTAGCTTGAGTAAAGGAGAACTCATAGCCCACCCTGCAGAGACTCATTTCTTCTGACACTTCATCAAAGCCACACCTCCTAACAGTGCTCCTCCCTTTGGGGGCCATTTTCTTTCAAATCACACACCTCCTGAAGCCTGGTCACATGCACATATCAAATATTCCCTCGTTCAAACATCCCTTCTCTCTACCATGTCATCCTTCAATCAACTGGTCCTTCAGATGCTTGCCGAATAGCTTTTATATGCCGGGCATTGTTTGGGGCACTGGGAATACAACAGGGAACTGAATAAGTGCCTGTCACAAGAGGTCACATTCTGTCCAGATCCCATCATGTGGAAGGGACTGAAGACAAGAAAGAGTCCCCGTGTTGTGCACCCAGGTTCAAGTGCATTTACCAATGGCACGTTTTACCACGTTCTGTGGTGCCCGGGACTCTGGCGATAGAACGGACACCGGGTTCACTCTGTCTACTCTTAAGCTCTATTCCCAGGAAGAGGGCAATGGGATAACCCATACCAGACCTGGGTATGGTGGAACAGACTGAAATCCCAGTATCTGGGAAGCTGAGACAATGAGGACCCCAAGTTTGAGGCTGGCCTCAGCTAAATATCGAGACTTTGAAAACATTAAAAATGTGAAACTAAGTAGTTAATTAATCATAATCTTTCTTGAACAGAGACCTCATCCTCTGACAGCAGAGTTAGAATAGGTCCCTAGAAATCACACCCTTTCTGCAGCTCTGACTTTACTCTGTCTTTATTCACTCACTGAACAAATGTTTGCTGTTTCGTCTGTGAGGATATTGTGAGGTCTGCTAGCTAGGATAAACAGACAAGATTCCCACTCTAATACCAGAGGAGAGCCTAGCCTCGCCTGCAGGCTTGAGAAAGGCTTCTTCAAAGAGTCAAGTCTCCTGCTGAAATCTGAACCAAAAAGGATTTTAAGAGGGAGACCAACAGATGCCCCAGAATGGGAAGATACCATGAAAGCAAGAAATGGAGAAAGCATGGGAGATGTGAAGGGTGGAAAGTGTAGGGGGTTCCAGCCATCCAGCCTCATAGGGGGCTTGGGGCTCAACTTAACAGAATGAGAAGCCCCCAAAAGGTGGAGGATAAGCCACATTACATAGGCAGCCACTAGAGAGACTCAGGAAGGACAACAAAGATGAACCTTGGAGATACTGAAGAGCTGGGGACAGTGGCAGTGGACCCTGGGGAGGTGGCCTACTTGACTTACCCATACAGATGCTCCCTAGACGCTAGTCTGGTTTCTGGCTTGTCAGTGAGGAATCCAATCTCGAGAGCAATTAGAGGAACTGTGAAGTGATGTCCGACGCAGCTGCTGGGTGAGCAGAACTGAACTTGAAGTGCTGGTAATTCGTGCTTAGGGTAGCATCAGCATATTTTTAGGACAGAATGACCGGTCCCTAAAAGGCCACTCCCTTTCTGCAGCTGTGCCTTTATGCCTGGGAACCTGAGACCTTGTAATGGGCGTGCAACCCTAGATATGGTCCCCACGCCTATGTCAGGGGTGCACTGTACCCACTGACATAGCGACTTGCCTTTTAACTTTAAAATTGAATAGGATGTTAATGTTTTTCAGCAAAACAAAACACTGGGAGGGTTTGTACTAAGTGGATATTAGAAGGAACCAAGATATGCTGATCTTTGCATGGGAGTGTAGTAGTCCTAGGCTGCTCTGCGTGTGCGCTCTTCTTTCCAGTTCCCACGGTGTTCTACGCTCCAAGGTGAAAGCTGGCACCGTTAGCATAGCGCTTCTCACCTGTGCTTGTTCTTAAAGCCTCCCACCAGCTGGCCTTTGCTCTTAGCCGGAGAAATGGAAACTGAACAGAGAGAGCAGTGTGCTTCATCAATCAAGCCATACATGGAACATGAGGAATACCTTAGGCGCGGCTGAACCCACAAGCAGAGTGTGCTGGCTCCTTCTTGCTCTTGTGTCCTGGAGCCTGCATTTGGGTATAGACTAGTAACCCAATCCTATTCCCTCACCCAGTAACTGTACTCATACGACCCAAAGAGGTGAAGCCACTCAGCAACAATCACACAGCAGTAGAGGCCAGTTTTGGACCAGACGCAGTAGCGGAAAGTGTAGGCTGGACCAGATGCAGTAGTAGAGAGTGTAGGCTGGACCAGACGCAGTAGTGGAGAGTGTAGGCTGGACCAGATGCAGTAGTAGAGAGTGTAGGCTGGACCAGACGCAGTAGTGGAGAGTGTAGGCTGGCGGGTAGAGGAAGGGAGGACTGGAGCAGGAAAACCACCGAGAGTGGAAACTGTGGGCTGGGAGGGGCTGGCTTAGCGAGGGAGGGGCCAGTGGGGACTGGAAAAAGAGATGGGGCAAGAGTTTTCTCTAACCCTGCAGATGGTCCCTAAAGATCTATGAGCTGTTTTCATCAGGTCAGGGGGAACAGTAAGCCCATGTGGCTGATGATAGCAAGTCACAGGTCAACTGACCATCAGTCCCTCAGGAGCTGTCCAGTGGGCCTGACAGTGCCTGTTACAGGAAGCAGGGGGCCACTACTCAACAGATGGCTCGCTGACTCTCCCCACTCACATACCACAGTCACGGTGATCTCAAAATTCTGTACTCTAAGACCTTACTATACAGTGACCTTAGTCCTGCTTATGTCACGAAAATCTGAGTGGCAGGCAATTTAGGGGCTGTTATAGCAAAGCGATACTTTCTGGGGACCCGCAAACCCCCAAAGAGCATTTTCTGGGGGACTCATTTGTGAACCGAGAATCTTATCCATGATTATAAATAATAGCTCTGGATTATCAGGAAATAGTTACACACACACACACACACACACACACACACACACACACGGGGGGGGGGAGGAGGTAATAAATGCCAAAACTTATTCAGAAAACATCCAACGTTTGTAAATCTAAGTCCTAACAGTGTGGAAACATCCTTACTGACACAGCTTATTTTCATTGGTTCCACGCTCGGCGCTTCTCAAAACATTTATTTATAATGCAGTGACGGAGGAAATGTCTGAGTTTGAAAGGAAGTCTTAAGGGGTTGTGAAGCCTCTGGAAGGTTCTTCAATGACCTAAGCAGACGTTTTTGAAGTTTGATATGCCCTTAACCCAAACCAAAATTCATAACAAAGTCAAAAGCAATATATTCAAGTGGGTTTCAACTGCCCGTTCTACCCAGCCTGATCCTTTATTCAGACTTTCACAGGCTGGGAGTAACTATGTGGCCATGGCAACAGAAAGATGCACTTAAGGGGCAAGCCCTTTGCATTGGCTTCAGCAAAAAGCCCTGCTTCTGAAGCCACAGTTCTGTGGCCTGGCCTTGCAGCCAAACAGCTAGTGAGAAGCCCGGCCCTGCCAACTTGTTGGCTGAGTCACTAAGCTAAGCTGCACCCCTCACCTGTAAAATGCAGATAAAATAGTGCCTACTCCACAGGGGTCTTGAATGGCTTACAGAAGACGAAAGTGTCGAATAGTAATAGAATATAACAAGGCATCAGTAAGTTTTATCTTGTTAAGTATATTTTAAATGTTATAAGTAATTAAAAGCAGTGGCGAGGCTGTTTATTATTTTAGTTTTGTTTGCTTGTTTCAAATGACTAAGAATTGAGCCCAGGCCTGCCTCATGTCAGGCAAATGTCCTATCACTAAGCAACATTCTCAGCTCTTCTTTACTTACAGTGAAACACTACCTGGCTAAGGTGTCCAGGTTGGTCTTGAACTCACTGTGTAGCCCAGGCAAGCCCTGGAAGCAATCCTCCTGCCTCAGCCTGCTGAATAACTGATTTCAGGTATGTGCTAGCAGGCCCATGGGGTATTTTACCTTTTACATTTAAGTGTAAAACATTTTTAAGTCAAATGTTATGTAAATAAAAAGAGAAATAGAAGATTCTCTGCATTTCTCTGCCCAATTAAATAAGAACCATGGGTGGGGGAGATGCAGGTACTAAATTTAATTTGTGGATGAGGAGATGTTTTGGTCTGAGGCATTAACCAGAGATAAGCAGACAGTCAAAGCAAGAGGTTCAGGCTTGTGTCCATACCAGGTCTAAAGTTGGGTTAAAAGGGTTTCATGATGTCTGAAGAGTACCAGCTGGGGACTGTAAACAAAGTTACAGAGTGAATCTACTCCTGAAGTCATTGGTGACTCTGGGCAATCACTTCTCCCTGGGCCTCTGCTTCCTTCCCAACAACACAAGTGTTTGGATGAAGTGGCAAGAGGGAGATTGCATCTCCAGGCTCTCCCTGAAGGGCAGGCTTGGCCCTGGACTTGCTCTCCAGTGAGTGGTTCAGTCCGGCTGTTCTTGATGCTGTCTAGTCTCAAGAGAGACAGGGACCCGGCATGAGAGAAGGGACCATTTGATACTCTGCTGTGTTCTAGAGAAGTGGCTTCCACTGCTTGTCCTGGTGACTGACTCCTGTCCAAATCTGTCCTCATGGAGCAGGACTCTGATGTCCCCTGGGGAGAAGAGAGGATATGCTTGCCTTGAAGCAGGACTGGAGAAATGAATATTCGAGCAGTGAGGGCTCATTATTTTTGAGGGCTCTGGAATAAAAGTTCCAGGTAGAAACAAAACAAAACAATACAAAAAAAACCCCAGCACAACAACCGCCAGCATTTCCATTCTGAAGAGGCATCTACGCCAGGAGCTCAGAAATGAAGATAGCGATTCGTTTATTATTCCTTCTCTTTATGACCTGCATTAATTCTGATTTCTATTTAAATAAGAATGATTAAATTTTATCAGCTGAGATGGAAATATTGTGATAAACACTGGCTCTTGGCCAAACTAATCTCTCAAACCCACAGCTTAGGGCCATTGTCTTGTATAGATATTTGAATGGCAACGCGCTTTTATCAGTATTTCTAAAGGCACTCATTTAATTATGTGGTTGTAAGGATTTTCAAAACCCCAAAGAATACCATCAATACATATTCATTTCCTGGATTAATTCAACACCAACATCAGAAAATACTGTTATTTAAAGGGTGAGCTGACTTGTTTTTGCTTTTGCAAAAAGAAAAAAAAAGGCATCCATTTCTGATGGCAATGGTGGCCTTTTCAATATTCTGTTTAACTAAAATTATAAAAACAAAGCATAGGAAATGAGGCTGGAATTGTGGATTATAGGGAACAGGATGAAGGGGGAATTTGGAAACCCCATAAGACTTAAAAAAGAAAAAAGTAGCCTTCGCAGAGACTGGACCACACTGGGAAAGTCAGACTTCCACGTCAGGGTGTGTCTGTACCTGTGGGTCTGCTCAGTCAAATATGAGATGTGGAAAAGGAAAGCTCAGGAAAAAAAGAGATGTCCAAGGTGAGGCAGCATGGTGCTCACTGTCCAGAAACCCAAGTGACCTACCTGTCATTGGTAGAGAGTCACAGCGTCTTTTCAAGAAAGGGTGAAACTGGAACTGGAAATCCGATGTCCTTGCCATGAAGGAGTCCTCCAAAGCAGAGGTGCAGCTTCAACAGGACCAGGAGATGTGATGCCGTCCCGATCTTAACTGACAGGGACAAATTCACTGGGACGGAAGCCCAAGAGAGCACTGTGGCTTGCCCCTTGCTGTTTTCCTGCCACTCTAGGTTGCTAGCTGAGAAAAGAGGCACTGAGACTGCACTGGCCATCCTTGAGAAGTGTGGCCAGTCACAGCTCAAAAGCCACCGGAAGTGAATGAGGTCCATCTTAGAGATCATGAAGGCAAAAGGGATTTGCAAACCGCTTCCTTCAGTGAACTCAGGAATATTCAATCTTACGCGAAAAGTGCTTTTATGGTCAAATAGGTATATGCCGGTTGCAAAGGTCCCTTTGTTGCAGGGCTTCTTAGAGTCCTCAGGAAGCCGATACGCACTGTTGCATTAACACTGTGCCATGCTAAGCATGTCTCCCTGCAGAATCCTTCCTTCCCAAGGAGCATCTTGGTCACACTGGTGTTTGGGAGATTCCCACCTAAAAACACTTGTTCTCTCGGTTGAAATAAACATTTTAAAGCTAGGGGTGAGATAGGTGTGTGCTACTAGTCTGGAAGGACAGTGACTTGAGGATCATCCGGGTGATTGGTAAACAGATGGTGGGTCTGGATGGGCCCGAGGCTCTGCGTTGTAATTGGTTCTGGTGTCTGTGAGGCAAGCAGGCAGGAGCCAGGCCTCCTAATGGTGCCCTGGCCCCGCAGAATTATACTCTTTTCAGAGAAGCGGCTTCTCTGCTGGGGGGAGCAGCAGCCTACCTGATTTGATTTTTATTTGCTGAGCTGACGTCTGCCTTTCTTCCAAGCCTGCCCTGTGGTGATAGACTCTTGTATGGAGGTGAATGAAGGATCTCCCGGCTCCTGAAATGAATCCCCTTTTGGCTATGTTATAAATTAGAAACAGAATAATGCTTTTGATAGAAGTGGTGTGTTCTGAGGTTCTGTCTAGAAATCTACATCTTAAAAATCATTTAAATACAATTATTAGATTGAATTGAATCAGCAAAAGGATAGTTTCTGTGACCATTTTTCTGGATGTTTAAATTTTGAAAAAAATATGGCATATATCTAACTAGAATTTGCTCAGTAATTGCAAAATACTCTAGCTATTGCCAAAACAGAAATACGCAATGTCTGCCAGATGTCCACT